ACAAGGTTGGAAGTTCATTTATAAAGAGTAGGAACAGTAAAGGTCCCAGTGTGGAATCTTGGACCACCCCAATGCTGATTTTCCCATTTTTTGATGTTATATGGTAGCCTTCACGATCCGTAATTTGTATTTGTAGCCGGCGGTCTTGTAAGAAGCTTCTTATCCAGTTGTTGATTTCACTCCTAAATCTGTACCACTCAAGTTTACCAAGAAGGATTTTGTGATTTACGCAGTCGAAGGCTTTTTCAAAATTAAAAAACATTGTTGCGATTCCCTTTTTGTTATCTCTGGCTTGGTATATTTTCTGGATTGCGCTGCAGACAGTGTCAACGGTGTTGCTTCCTCTTTGGAATCCAATCTGTCCCGGATATTTTGTTCTTGTTTATGAAATCCTAGATTTCACCAAATTTTCCATAAGTTTTGAAAATGGAAAGCACTGATATGGACCTATAATTGACTGGATCGAAGCACTGTCCACCCTTGTGTACAGGTATGATTTTTGCAGTTTTCAGGCACTCGGGAAGCACTGATGAGTCGTTAATTGCATAACACATTACATTAAGCAGCGTAGGTGGTATTTTTCTGAGTACTTCAACCGTAACATCATTTTGCTTGCTATGTCTGACAGGGTTGTTTTGATCTCTTCTGCCGTAGTTGGTGCAAAGAAAAATAAAGAGGCGGTTTGGGCTCGGACTGCGTTGCATATTTTCGGGAGATCTATTTTCTACATAAGTATTTCTTATATTGCACATAATCATCTCGTGGTCTGATAGATCAGAATCACTCACGGTGGTAACTATTTGGTCTTTGTAAAAAACTGGTACAGCAGTAATCGATAATGGAGCAGGAAGACTGGCTTATTCTGGTTATTTTTGATACATGCATTTTCATATCAGATGTCGCTAACGCACATTTATGCAAATCGGTCACTAGATTTGGATCCAACGTTGTCTTTAACAAGTATCTTGGTTTTATTGTGGATAATCATCTGACTTTTAAGGATCATGCATTGTATATAATTGACAAAATAACCAAAAACGTTAATTTTTTGTCGCGAGTGTCGCCGTTCCTGTCACGATGGTCGAAGGTGGCTGTCTTCAATACATTGGTCCTACCACATCTTGTTTTTAGTTCATCTATACTCTATCTGCCAATAAGAATGAACTGAATAGGTTACAAAAACTTCAAAATAGGAGTATGCGAATAATATTAGCTGCAAAAAGGGATACACCCATAAAAAAAATGCAAAGGGACCTGTGGAAATATTTTCACAATATCAAATATTGATACTTGTCTATAAAATAAAGAATCGTTCAACTCCCAACTACTTATCAGAGAAACTTGTTACAAATGAAACTGTACATACATACCCAACAAGAAGCAAACAAAAGTTTTATATAACAAAAAAGAACAAAGCAAGTACTGAGAAAGCAGCATTCCACACAGGCTTGATTGTGTTTAATTCTTTACCTGATCATATCAAGAGTATTTCTAAATTAAATTCTTTCAAAACAAAATTGGAGAAACACATAATAGGGGAATCTTGAGGGGAATGATACCGTCATAAATGTATGTAATGGAAATGTTGAGGGAAATGTATTAGCATAAAGGTTGAATTTTTAATTTAGTTAAGTGAACTAGGTGAAAGCATATTGAGCAAATTTACCTTTTCAATAATACTTGTTATTTGTTTTTAGTCTTTTTTGTGAAATTGTAAAAAATAATGTATGTATATTAGCCAAGTGCTAAATAAAGGAATTATTATAACGCTTCCCCCATGGGACATTGTAGATCAAACGTAAATGGATCTTGTTGTGTACCGGCTAATGCAAATATTTTCGCTGGTAGTGATCCAATGCTCTGTAAAGCAGACAATTTCCGAGTATAGCAAGTTACACAGTAGCTCTTCTATTTTCTCGATTTTGTTTCTAATGCTCTGAATATTTATCAAGAGTAGGTTGAGGCTCTGTGTTGGCTTTTTGGGGCTTCCTACGATGACTCTATTGAAAATTCCTACTATCCAATGCGGCCTTTGTTCCGGGGTTTTCTCCGTTCTTGTTTTCTTCTGTACTAGTTTTCCCAGGGTTGAGGGAATCACCTATTGGGATTATTTCTTGAGATGTATGGGCGTTACTAGAATCCTCTTCCTTTCTTTCAGCCGCCCTGGCGTTCTTTTGTGTTTCCCTTTTTGCGGAGCGTGTATACTGCGTTTCAGGTTTATTGCCTGAATGGCCGGTGACGTTGCGGTTTGGTGACAAAGAAGGTAGGTCCTGTTACTGTGTTAGGACTATTTGATGTTGCATGTTCGTCTCTGTTTCTTCTGCTAGGAGTGATATAAATACTTTGAAACTATTTTCGAAGCTAGGAATACCTTCTCTGCGTAGCGCAGCTGATCATCGTTAGTAACACACGGGAACTCGTCGGGATTTAGGTATCCGATTTGTGTGTCGAGTAGTTCTTGGCATATTTCTAATCTTTGTTGATCAATAAAACCGTTCAAGATTGGCCGAGATCTGACATGCGAAGGACCAACAATAACTGTACTAGCGTTGATATTTTTCAGCGTTTGAAATATCTTTTGAGCAACCTTTATCCCTCTTTTGGCGTTCTGAAGTCCTCCGAAATTTACTTCTCGATCAGCAGGTGTTGAACTTCTGCATAGGAGGCATACGGAATTAACAATCTCTTCTAGCAATCAACTTCTGCATCAAACTTCTCTACTTTGCTTATGTGTAGTCTCAAATAAATTATGGAATCGCTATTTGGGGAGCATCCAGATTCTCTGATGAGATTTTTATGATCTTCATCCCCGAACGGCCCGAACTTCTGGTATGCCTTTCTTTAAGGGCTTGAATCGGGGCTTGAATATACTTACTGTGCCTGGATTGTATTTTGTCGCACAGGTCACTTTTGTCAAAAAAATCAACACCTTTTCGCAACCGATCAAGATGACTTTGCTAATAACATTGGTATACTCATCAGAGGTAGGGATGAACTCCGCATTCCCACATCCCACATTTTTTGGCAGAGGTTTCTATTATCGAGGTATCAAAGCCTACAGACTCCTGCCTGTTGTTATCAGGAAAATGGAGGAAATTGGGAAATTCAGAAAGGCGGTCTTACAGTTTGTGAGGGATAAAGGTTTTTATTCTTTTAATTTTTAGACTGTCGTATCTTTGATTTTTCACCAATTTATGTTTATTATAATTAATTATAATAAAAGTTTTTTAGTAGTTCCTTCCTTAATTTTTTCTACTTTTTAAATTTTAACTGTGATATTCTTGGTGATATTAGTATAATTGACGTCCCATTTTTGTATGTGTGTATGGATGCTTCTGCACTCAACACTCAACACAAAAAAAAGTATTTGATTTCGATGGCAAGAAGGAGATAAATAAATAAATAAATAAGCATGGGTGATTGCAAAACATTTTAATACCTACATAGATTCGTCACCATTTGGAAACTTCTCTAAAAACCTACAGTATAGAGTATCTTTGGCACTCAGCTTATTTTCTCAATTGATGTAATGACTTCTGTTAATAATGCCCTGCACAATCATAAGCTCGATTATAAGTGGGTGATCAAAATATGCTAGAGAAATAAATGTCGTGGTGGCAAAGGCCCCTTTAGGTACTTGGTAACTTGTGCCACAGAATACATAGCTAAACTGCAACAGTACAATATAATATTTCTATAGGCATTCACTTATTTATAAAAGTAGGCAAATTCTTAATCACTTGCCTGTCAACTTAAGGCAGGTAGGTGGTTTTAAAAAGTTTAGACTAGAGCTCAGAACATTTTTATATGGAAAAGCCTACTATCAACTATCGTATCAATGAATTTTTTAATGAAAAGTTTTAATTTTGTTTGTTCCATTGTTTTGTTTTGTTCTGACGGCAACCTTTATGTTTCTTTTGTATTGGCTGTACCTTTTATATGACCCTATAGTTTAATGTAGTAATTGTACCTACCTGTGTTGTTTAGGATTATGATTTGACATTTATGTTTATTTTTTATTAGTGTAATTTTATTGGCTGTACCTTTTTTTATGACCCTATAATTTTATAATAATCGTATGTTACTTAAGATCATGTTTTGTCAATGAAATTTATTTTCCGACAATAAAGTATATTTTGATTGATTGATTGATTGGCAATCAAATAGCTTGAAGTGCCAGTGAATTAGTGTCTGTTTCTTAGGTGTCCCATTAAAAATTTGACTCTGTTGTTTCCAGAATTGAAAAAAATACATACTAAGATTAGAGGTTTTTCAGATTTTTAATTTTTTACTGCCAGATCTTCACGTTCATAGTCAAATGAAATTTTGAAAAAATGACAAGTTGGAGTACTTTAAGCAGTATTTATTGGTAAAAATCAGTACCCACCACAAATATGTTTTAGCAAGTCAAAAACAAAATATATACAATTCTTGAACAGGATTGGTTCCCTTGGGTTAACCCTAATAATTTTTTTAAGGAGTAACTTTAGCAAATTTTAGGGAGTAAATGTTTGCACAACTCAATATAAAAGTAAAACAATTATATTCCTTAAAACTTAAGAAACATGCAGACATAATATCACATTAAAGAGATCAAAAGTAAGAGTAAAAATTTTAAAATTCAGTGACACTATAAATTAGTAAATTACATTATTTACTAAAATATCCTTTAAACGAGTCTACCACATTAAAAAGAATTTCTCCTATATTTTTAGGTTTCCTATTGAAAAATTTTATTAGGTAATTCCGAGGGTAATTCATAGGTACATAATCAGGTCTTCTCTGGCGTCATTATAGTCTTCAATAAGGAGCAACAAAGCTTTGTTGTTTCTCTGTCTAGTCTAAAATCATAACCCTGTGTTTTCTGATTTTGACTCAAGGTGGTGAATAATTTGATTTTATACACAGGGCGATAGTAGGTATATCCACATCAATTATTGAGACTGTACTCTTACCCATAGTAATTTAAGTTTATAAGTAATATTATTTTTTTATTTCAGTGAATGTCCATATGCCTAAAGACAGGGTTACCATGATGCACCAGGGCTATGGATTTGTGGAGTTCATGGGCGAAGAAGATGCAGATTATGCAATAAAAATAATGAACATGATAAAACTATATGGAAAACCCATTAGAGTAAATAAAGCCTCTGCCCATCAGAAAAATCTTGATGTTGGTGCCAATATATTTATTGGTAATTTAGATCTAGAAGTTGATGAAAAATTACTTTACGACACTTTCTCTGCTTTTGGAGTAATACTTCAAACGCCAAAGGTATGTTTACTTCACAGATCAAGAATACACATAAAATACTTCGTTCATAAAATACCTCTAAACGCTATTGGAAAGGAAATATTTATCCTTATCAACTGGAAAAAGCTTTTTGGCAGCGCTGTAAAATGTTTGTGTCGTTTTTCCTGTAAATAGTGTGCCCATGTTGCTTTTATTTTAGTAGGAGAATAATTTTTAAACAATAAACATTAGTACTTATTCTATAATAAAATCTGATAAATGACCAATAACTGACTAAAATAAATTTGATGACTTATATTGATAGTTGTAGATGATATGAAAATCGCCCAAGTTTTATCTTATTTTAAAAAATTTGAAAAGAATTTTCTGTGCATTTCTTAAAGTCAGTTTAAAACATAGGAACTCATAAAAAGCTCAGGTACTTTATTGTATTGTGATTTTGTAGATTATGAGGGATCCAGAATCTGGAAATTCCAAAGGTTTTGCTTTCGTCAATTTCGCCAACTTTGAATCTTCGGATGCTTCCATAGAAGCCATGAATGGACAATACTTGTGCAACAGGCCAATTTCCGTATCTTACGCTTTCAAGAAAGATTCAAAAGGAGAAAGGCACGGATCAGCTGCTGAACGTATTTTGGCTGCACAAAATCCGTTATCACAGGCTGACAGACCCCATCAACTGTTTGCAGATTCTCCACCAATCGGTGAATATACTTTTTCTCTCTTTATAAAAGATAACTTAATATTACATATGTAACTAAAATAATTAATTTTTTCCAGGCATGATGCCACCAGGAATGACGACTGCTCCTCCACCACCACCAGGAATGTTGGGTCTACCGCCACCCTCTGTGACACCCAACACTACGATTCCACCCCCACCGCCTGCTGTTCCCCCACCAGCATCATTTCCTGCAGGAATTCCGCCGCCTCCGTTACCGCCCTCTCAACCACCTTTGCCGCCAATTGCACCCCCACCGCCTCCAGCTTCTAAGCCAGGTGTGATGAACCCACCAGCACCATGGAAAGGGGGGTTGGGTAATCCCCCACCACCACCTGTACCACCAGTATCTGGTAAATTATTTATGTATTATGCACCTCAAGCAAAAACAAGAAACAATCTATTTCAGATATGTTTACATTTTTTTAAACTTATTCAAAGCTTCAGCTAATAGAAATATGAAGTTCTTTGTTGGCTGAGAAAATTGTCGTATTTATTATTTTTCTGCAAGCTCTATAGAAAATGATTGTTTTAAATTATGTACAGGGTGTCCGAATTTGGATGGTTTTGATAGGAAACGTCAATTTCTGAGCGAGATACAAAAAAATGAACCCCCCACTCCGAGGCTCAAATTTCTTGAAATTTTGATTGGTGCAAACCGCATTTTGATATCTTCAACCGTTTAGCCGCTAGAGGGCGATTCTCGATTTTGAGCAATACTGTGAAATCTTCATAACTTTTTTGTTTATAAAAATAACTGATTTCCGTAAAAACTTCCTAAAGGCACTTTTTCAAGCAGAATTCAGTGACGTTTTCAGTTTTTTTCTATTGGGCCTCCATTTCAAGATATTGACCAAAATCCGATTTTTTTCAATGGGACACCTTATATATTAATAGCTCTCTTAAAAGCTTTGCTTTTCATGATATAAATTTCGATAGGTTTATCTCTAACAGTTTTCGAAAAAAAAGATTTTTTCGTTTTTTTCCATAAGAAACAATGTGTTAAAACAGGTCTTTATATTTGTAAGGAAAATGAGGAAGGTCTCTTTCTAACTCATTGTTTCTTATGACAAAAACCAAAATAATTTTTTTTCTGGAAAACTGTTAGAGATAAACCCATCGAAATTAGTATCATTGAAATCAGCAAAAGCAGAGCTTTCTAAAGAGCTATTAATATATAGGGTGTCCCATTGAAAAAAATCGGATTTTGGTCAATATTTTGAAACCGAGGCCCAATAGAAAAAAACTGAAAACGTCACTGAATTCTGCTTGAAAAAGTTCCTTTAGGAAGTTTTTACGGAAATCAGTTATTTTTATAAACAAAAAAGTTATGAAGATTTCACAGTATTGCTCAAAATCGAGAATCGCCCTCTAGCGGCTAAACGGTTGAAGATATTAAAATGCGGTTTGCACCAATCAAAATTTCAAGAAATTTGAGCCTCGGAGTGGCGGGTTTATTTTGTTGTATCTTGCTCAGAAATTGACTTTTCCTATTAAAACCATCCAAATTCGGACACCCTGTACATATGACATCCTAAATATATGAAACACCATGCTTATACTAAATGATTATCCTAGGCTTAACGCGTCATCTTAGGAAATAAAAAATAATTATTACAAATACAAAATTAAGGACAGTAAAATACAGACAAGGACTCATATTTTGCTTTGAAGAAGTATGAATTTAAACATTTTCTTCCTACCAATACCAAAATCATGTTAGAAGTCGCTTGTCTTGGCACACTGCAATTATGCAAATTGTGTTTATGGACCCTTTTTAACAGAACAAAATAAGTATGGAATACAAAAGATTCAGAAGAATTATTGTGTACCGGGTATTCCACCTAAGGAGGTAACCGGCCATATCCCAGAAACTTAATACCACTAGAACTTTGGGGAAAAAGAAATTATTGATAAAAGGGGCCAAGAGGAGTCGCTGGAAATAATTTTCAAGTTTGTAGGATGGCCGCTAGAGGTCGCAGTTGTGATGTCAAAAGATAAAAATTGAATTTTTTCAAAAAAATATCCGGTTAGGTACGTCCATAAATATCACCATTTTAATCTTGGATACTTTTTGAACAAAAAAGCTCGGGTACAAATTTTTGTCCGATGTGAAATAAACTGGTGGGGGGAGATTTATCTTTTCACATTACAGTTGCGACCCCTAGCGGTTATCCTAGAAACTTGAGAATAATTTCCAGCAATTTCTCTTGGTTGCATTCATCAATATTTTTTTTTCCAAAGTTCTAGTCTTATTCGTTTCTGAGATATAGCTGGTTACCTCCTTAGGTGAAACACCTAGTAAGATATACATTTAAAATAAATAGACAAGAACATGTTACTCCTTACATTACTAACAGTAAAATGCTCAAGATGAAAGAAGATTTTACATTTTGCTGTTTTGATACAAAATATTATTATATTAAGAACAATTGCCAAGAATATCTCTTCGAACTATTGGTGAGGCTTGGTGACATTCATACCAGGTCAACAAGGAAAATAGACACACATCCTACTGAATTTTTTAAATCTTCTTTCTCTTGCTTGGGCCCACATATTTACAACATGATACCAAAAGGAAATACAAAAATTAGGGCCTATAAGAAATCTTTGCAAAGATTCATTGTTGATTTGAATCATGGACTTTAAGTGTAGATTTTGTTGCATGATAATCAGTTCTTTTTTGTTATAAACAGTCTGATGTGTGTATGAAAATGTGCTTAGCAGTCGGTACTGCATACCTTTTGTGTTGAATGTATTTTTTGATTTTCACACAATAATCCTCTTTTTATTTATTCTATATATTCTATTCATTTATGCAATACGTTCATTAATAAGTGGAAAAATATATACATTTTTAATTATTTTCAGATCCAAACTTCTCCAAATTGCTTCTGCCTCCTCCACCGCCAAGTGGACCACCACAAAAATGGGAAGGACCGCCGCCCTCGGCCATTTCTGGAAGGCCGTCCTTTCCACCTAGAAGACCACCACCCCCTCCGCCCACAAATTAAGCAATGCTCATTGCTTTGCAAAAACGTGCTAAGTGTGCTTACTTAAATCGCGTTTTTTCTTACATTATTTTCTCACAAATGGCTCATTTGAGCCGGCAGTGAGAGTCTCACACGCTTTCATACTATACAGGGTGTCCCACTAAGGTCAGCAAGGTACAATATTATGGAAACCATAGACCTTACGGCTTCGGGATTTTTTTTTCTTCATTAAATCGACCAAGAGAAATTGATAGAAACTATTTTCAAGTTTCTAAGATGACCGCTAGGGGGCGCAAATAACAACAGAAATCAAAAGTTCATTAATTTTTGCGCCAGTTTGGTTATTAGGCTTTTTTCGTATCTTCACTAATAAGGTTGGGGGAAGCTGGTGAAAATAGTTATTTAAACAACAAGTTTTGATAACACCTTTTTTCGCACGGCGAGACAGTTTGTTGGACCGAGCCGTAGGCGAGTTTCACAAGTCGAGCGAGTGTGAAAAAGGTTTTCAAATGAGTTTCTTACAATGCTTTTCCTTCAACTGCAAAATAAAACCAAGAAATATTTAATTTTCATTTGATAGAAAATCATCAACATCAAACTGAAAAACTTTTTCGCACGCTGTACAAAAGCTCTATTTTCAGAGGTTACCTAGTGTGTGAAACACTCCATTTTCAGACAGTTGTAGGAAAAATAGTTTTAAAAATTCCTGTATCTTCCATACCCCTTATCCAAACTCATTCAATTTGGGCTCATTTGAAAGAGAATTTCATTGTTATTAAGAACACCGCTTCGTTCAGGGTCGATAGTTCCCACCGCGTCTTCTAGAGGGCGTTGTTTAACCAAGGTCCAGTTTTTTCTAATTTTCTTGAAAAATCCCAATGGCATAATATTATTTTTTTATTGCGGTGCTCAAAGAGCAAAAAAATATCTAAATTTTGCCGCAAACCCCAATTCAATAACTGCATTCGTTTTAAAGTTACGCAAATAACTGGTTTCCATAATATCGTGCCTCGTCGACCTTAGTGGGACACCCTGTATAATTATTTTTGTAGCTAGTTTATCTTACTTAAGGGTTCTTATAGTAGAATAAGTGTTCTTTTTTTTTATAAACGGGCTGGTGCATCCTTGTGCGCATATTTTGATTTTAGTTTGTATTCTCATAATGTACATAATACATATTTTAATTTGTATTATTATAATAATTATTACTTTCATTTTACTTATATTGTGAGAATTTGTATTTTTTGGGCAATAAAGAATATGTATCATCCATATTTGGTTTGTTTTGTAGAAAATGAGACCAGGGCTTTGAGACATGTACTTTCATGGTTCTGATATTTTATATTTTCATAAATAATAATTACAAGAAAATTAATATTTTTTTATTGAAGCTAAAACAGTAGAATAACAATAATATTCCAACAAGGTAATCCAAAATATTGAGAAACAAAATAAAAATGCAATTTGTACTTAATTTTCTTATACAGTATGTCCACTTAAGTTCGCAGCATATGGGAAACTTTTTTATTATCAATCTGCCAAAAAAAGTTATTCTTTATAAAAGTTTCTACTTCTTGAAAAAATAGTATTAAACTATTGAAACTTGAGATAGCATGTACAGGGTGGTCAGAAAATAGAAAAATATACAGGGTTTTTTGGTAAAAGTGGAAAAAAATGACGCGTCACTATTTTTTAAAACCTTTAATATTTTTTTCAGAAGGAACTTTTTTTCTAAAAATATTGTAAGGAATCACATCCTGAAAAAACGAACCGTACTTAGGAAACACTGTATATTTTTCTATTTTTTGACCATCCTGTACATCCTATTTCAAGTTTTAGTAGTTCAACATTATTTTTTCAAGAAGCAGAAACTTTTATAGGGAATAACTTTTTTTCGTAAAATTGAAAATAAAAAATTTTCCAATATGCTGCGAACTTAAGGGGACACACTGTATTAACAAGTTGTTCCTATGTGGAAATCAATTTAGGGAAAAGTTTGGAAGGGCCGTTGCAATTACCCACCTGTCAAACGATAAATAGGTAACCCTGAACAAAATCTTGGGAGAAAAATAAAATAAACATGCAATTTGAACTTAACTTTTTCATATTGTAAACCTATACCGATTTGGGAGCCAATTGCCAATCAAAGAGAATTTAGAATAGTCATTCATGTATCTGTCAAACCATGTAACCCTATTGAAAATTTCTGATATTTGAACAGGTTCTGTTGCCTGCTTAGAACTGAGGAGTCTATCAACCATAATTTCTCTTTAGGTACCCTTGTCTCCAATACTGTATGAAGTTTTGCTGCGGATCTCACGCGTAAAAACTGATGCTACACTTCATAAACATATTGAAATGTTGATTTTCATCTAAATCATAATAATTGGACATTTCTCTTTCAGAGGCAATTAAGTTTTGCATCGTTATTATAATTCCTTAGCATGACGTATTGCAGAAAAAAAATACAAACAGTTCAGAAAATTTGAATTGCTTGTCAGCAGATTACAAGCTAATGTTAAAGTTGTGTGTTGCAAGTTAGACCATAAACTGGGGATACTTGCAACACATGTAGTTTTTAGATAGAATTTGCATTTAGGAGCTTGTATAAACCCACTTGCAACACAGTTAATGAAAAAAAAATATAGTAAAATAGCTATAGGAACGATACAGGGGTGTTTTAGAGCAGATTTTTTTTTTCAGTTTTTATTAGGAAAATATTACAAAGAAAACATAATGCAACACACGATGCAACATAAAAAAAACATTTCTGAAATAATTTAGGAACCTAAAACATAACGCAAATAAATCGTAAAAGAACAGAAACTTTTCCAAAATAATTTGGGAAAGTTTTAAACAAGTATTTAAATACGAAGTTAATGGACAACCCCACTATGCTGCCAGAAGAATATTATTTACAAATTGTTCCTACTTCTCCTTGGAAAAGACAAGCTGTCTCCCAGGAGCAAGTGGGAACAAATTTCTCTTTTCATAGCGTCAACTTGATAAATCCATAGGTTCGACTTGCCACCCCTAAAGACATTTTATTCTGAACATCCCTTAAAGCGTTTTGCCACATTTCTTCGGAATAGTTTCTGTAACTTCTCCCTTTTTGTGCTTGAGACCGCGCCATTATTGTTCAAGAATGGTATGCAGCCATCATGGGACTTCCACCACAGTGAGAAAGGCGTCAGGCTTCTGACTTGCCCTTGCAAATTCCTTCTCAACTGACTAATGGCCGTTTGCACCGACCATTTTAAGGGAGCTTTAACGATAATCAACGCTGAAAGTGACGTTTTTACATGTCACACATCATTTACATGTAAAAATGTTGCATTGATTATCGTTAAATGGCCATGAGCACTCTTTGATCTTTGAAAACAGAAACATTTTCAATCACTTGCCCGCCCATCTTCGGAACACATCGTCTAGAAAAGTCTTCAGACGATCTTTGAAGAATTCGCTGATAAGTGAGGCCTACTACGATCTGATCTGAGTGCATTGTGACTTGCCTGTCCAACTTGACTGTTTGTCCACACGTTTTTGCTAAGCGTTTATGTAATTAAGTTTCATGTTTCAATGTATATTTTATATTTATTTTGACTACACTGACTGACAATAATACCATGGACTAGTTTATGTTGTTTGTTCATATTTTTGTTTTTGTTTTTTGTCTTCATTTTGTAGGTATTTTTTAAATCTAGGTACATATATAGTTATAATTTTTATAATTGTTTGGATTTGAATGATTATCCCTTATTTTTGGGGTCTGTTTTTTCTGGAACGATTTCCCGTTATGGAAAGGATTAGGCTTGATGGACATAAAATTTGTATTTGTTCCAATAGCTTATCGACTTTCATGTGATCACCTTTAGCTGATTTTGAAATAGATAGTACTTAAAAATTTGATTTGATTTAATATATTTATTCATCCATGAACTTTATTTAAGTATTTTTATGTGTATCAAATTTTGAAAAACAATAGAATTTGAGGAATATATATTACCAAAGAAAGGACTGTTCTTGTCTGTAACATACAACTTAAGCTTGTGATGTGAATCCAAAATAATTTTATGTCTTGTTTTGGCTTGATGATAGGACATTACATTTATGATATCAAAACTGGTAGCCTTAGCACAGATCGCCTTAGACAAGTATTGTGTGTAAAAACCTTGTTTTTTTTTTTAATAATTCATAAATTTGCAATTCTATCAATTCTGCATTAAACAGAATATTCAATACTCAAGATACATTGATTTGGTACAAATGACTTTGAACTGCACAATGGATTATGGAGAATCTGTGTGTGCAATTTATAATACTTATTGCCCTGACATAAATATTATATATAATTTTATTTATGTTTTGTATTGAAAATCAATTTGTCTCAGTTATTCAATATTTTATTTCTTAGTGATATCCATTTTACTCCTATTTCTATGGTGGTCTCGGATATTTTGTGTATTTGAACTGCAAGGTCCTTTATACAGTGTTATGTCTGCAGGAGCTTGATACCTATAAAAAGTGACTGAGTAGAAAAAAATTAGATGCAGAAGTTAAAATAACTTACCCTAATTCTTGTTCATTTAATTTATTCAAAGACAGACATATATGTACCATGGGTAATCTCCTTTTCACAATTAACTGATCCAATTCTGGTAATAATGGGTCCCAGTATTCTTCAACGCTAAAAAAAAATTAATTTATATTAGAAAAAAGTTGAAATATTGAAGTGTCGAAATTCTACATACTTTCTATAACAAATTTTAGTTATTTGATGCAATTTGTTTTCGTATTCCTTTTTCATTATCTCCGCGCAAGTTATTGCCTTTCCAACTGATGTTCCTATTCCAGTCCATATAACAATTTTTGAATCTGGAAATTTATTAAGCGCATCTTCCAAAAGCTTCCCCATTCGGCTACTACCTCTGACCTGTAAACAACAGAAATAATTGTTATAATGTGCATATTGTGCTAAATATATACTCGCCTGGCAAGTAAGCATCTTGCATGCCAATTTTAATGCGACAGAATCAAATGTCTAGAGAAAGTCTCTATTTCACCTCTAGCATTCCCAGCGCTTTTTGCTGGAGGTGGAACAGGAGAAATCGTTCTCATTCTCTATTTAACCGTTGACTTTTTCTAAACATTTCATTCTATCACATTAAAATTGGCATGTAAGATGTTTACTTGCCAGGCGTGTATATATATATATACAGGGTGTATATTTTCAGTGATACCACTATTGCTATATCCAAAACGGTAAAAGCTACAAGGTAGGTTAAATTAGAAAAAAGTTGCCCTTTTTGATGCCCATTCAGAACTCGTTTACAGTGTTGGCAAATTCCTTTTAGTTTATGAAGTTTCTAAGAAACGCCCAAAAATATTTCATCAATTATTTCGATAACTATTAATTTTCGGGACACGATTTGAATTTGGAAGTTTTATAATTTTTTTCGCTCTACAACATGGCATCTTCGAATTTTGAATCCGACGTTTCGTGATTGAGCTATCATCATGAACTTAATTTTTTTTAATACGGACCTGGATTTTTTATGTCATTTTTAGAAGGCACCCTTTATTCCCTTTTCAACGATATACCTCTTAAGTATGATTGGTCGACGTTTCTGATCTAAAAAGTGATCATCAGTGATTTTTACCAAAATTTTACCTTGACTTTTTTTTCAATCACTACTCAAAGAATACAAAAAAAAATTGTTTAAATTAAACAATACAAAAAAAAAGTTAAAAGACTCTCCCCCAAGGAAACATAATTTTTTCAATTAAAACATAAAAATCGTTGATGAAATTTTTTGAATGGCAATTTATCTTTCATATTTATTTCCGAAGCGTAATGGGCATTCTTTCTTCCTACAATAAATTATTGCAGATAAAATATTATGTATTTGCAAAAGTTTATGCGTCAAAGTGGTTTTCTCAAGGCTAACAAAAGTGTGAAAAATACCTTTTTATGTATAACTTTTTTTTCACGAGAATTAAAACTGTTCCCTAGTTTTTACCTTAATTACCAATAAGGCAATATCTAGTTTTTCACTAAAAAAATTACTATAAATATTTTATGTTACAAAAATAGACATGAAATAATTTTTGAAATGCATAATCAATTTATATACATACCCAGTATATTTTAACATGTAGCTCCCCTCCATAACTTTTTTGTCTTTAGAAGTAAACAATTTTTCTATTGTACCACAAAATGAATTGACAACTCAAAAATGTTATAGCGAGTGTTATAGGGACAAACCGCCGCTCAAAAACACCCTGTATAGAGGGAAGAGATGATGCTTTTGGCGTAAAATAATAGTGACAGTGACTAGTTATAATTTTGGCATAATACCTAATTTCTACTGCCATTGTCAGAAAAACTACCAGCCAATCTAAAAAGCTAAATGAAGACCTTGGCAGAAGAATGGGATATGCCACATTTTGGCGAAATCGAGATTAGATCACCGTTCTATCATAAATTTGATGTCTGTGGTCCCCAAAAAATATTATAGCGTTCAGGCGACAGAGGGCGCTAGGATCTCAAAATCTTCTTCTTCTTCAAAGGAAAAAGTAGCATATTTTTTGGGCAAGAAAGGGATTTGCCACACATTTTTAATAATGGCGGAGCCACGTGCTCGTGCAGCTAAGCGAAAATTATTTTTTTATGATACTTCTGGAAGTGAAAATAGTGATATATATGGCTCAGATGATAGCGTAATGGACCGAGATTATGTGGAAAGTGGAAGTAGCGATAGTTCTTCATTGGATTCATCAGATCAGGTAAGTAGAAAAAAATGTGGCTTATCTCCTTTTTGGCGTATTTTTTGTGGCATATCTTTTGATTTTTTTGGTTGGTTTTTTCTGAAAACATAGACAATTTAAGCAAGTTTTTTCTTTACTATAATATTACAGAACTTTAGTTTCTTATACTTTTCGAATGAAAATTTTACAATCTTCATTTTAAGCACTTGAAAAAAATTAAAAATGGCTTATCCCCTTTTTGCCTGGCCAATATTTCACGTTTTTTTGTGGCTTTTTCATTGCAGAATTTCATGAATTTTGCAGGAAGATGATCATACCGTAGAAGCACCTATTCCAACAACTACACCAAAACTTGCTTCAACAATACCAGCACGTGTTCCAACAGCCCCAGCACCCGCCCCAACAAACCCTGCACCTGTTCCAACAACCTCAAGGGGAACACTACCAACTCCAGAAAAGGCGACACCCTCCAGGTGGAAGAAATCTAGAAAAGAATGGAGAAAAAAGGACAAATCAAAAATAAGAAAAAATTTAGGGTACAGTTACAAGAGCTCGAAAGGAAATGAAATAAGTGCCAGAGAGTTGGGTTGGGAGCAACATGTTCGTGCAAAAAAAAATGCCGCGAATTACTGAGGGGAAGCGAAATGAGTATTTTTAAATCATTTTGGGACCTGGGTGACTACAATAAGCAAAATATTTATTTATACGCTTGCATGAAAGCCTTGCCTAAAAAACGATCCTATCCAAAGAAAACAAAAAATCAAGCCTCTTCGAGAAACATATCAGTTGAATATTTTGTCAAAGTAAATGGGGAGCAAGTTAAGATATGCAAAAAAGAGTTTCTCTCTGTTCATGGCCTCCAGAAAAGCAAAAGAAGGATCGAATTACTCTACAAAACTTTGTCCAGTGGAGGGATAGTAACACCTGAAAAAGATAAACGTGGTATTCACAAAAATAGACCAAACAAAACTTCCGATGAGCGTCTCGAATCGGTGAGAAATCACATAGAAGCTATTCCAAAATATACCAGTCACTATAGTAGACAAAAAAATCCAGGAAAAGTTTTTATTGACCACGATTTAAATATTTCGAAACTTTACAAAGACTATTTCATTGACTGGTGTGAGGAACGTGGACTGACACCTGTATCCGAGGATAAGTATAGACGCATTTTCTGTACGGAATATAATATTGGCTTCAGACTACCAAAAAGTGACACCTGTAGTACCTGTGATATGCTCAGAATTAAAATTGACGATCCCTCTGCCGATGCGCAAGAAATAAATCGGAATAAAGTAAAATTAGAACTTCATCAAAGGAGGGCAGAAGCCATGCAGCACAGTTTGAAAACGGAAATAGAAAACGCAAAAACTAACGGAGATACTTTTGTCATTACATTTGACTTACAGCAAGCATTGCCTGTCCCAAATTTAACAGTAGGGCCTGCTTTTTATCTACGTAAAGCCTGGGTATACAATCTAGGGATTCATGATTGTGTCACAGGCAAAGGTTACATGTACATGTGGCCAGAAAATGTTGCCAAGAGAGGTAGCGATGAAATAGCAAGCATAGTGTATAAACATTTGCGAGAAAATACGACTAGAGGGAGTAACAAAAATCTTATAGTTTATACTGATAACTGTTCCGGGCAAAACAAAAACTGGACTATTATGTGCTTGTGGCAGCAACTGGTAATAGATGGATGGTTTAAATCAGTTGAGCATCGATTTTTGGTGGTGGGGCATACTCACCTTCCTTGTGATCGAGATTTTGCATTAATAGAAAAATACAAAAAAGGCATGAAACAAGTTTATGAACCGAATGATTGGTATCAAGCTGTCAAAAAAGCAAAAAGAACAAATCCGTTTGTTGTGACTGTTATTAAGCAAGAGGATATTTTATCATTTAAAGATTTACAAAATCAAATTGTTAAGAAAAGTGTTTTGGATGACAAGGAAAAACTAAAATTTAGTCAGGTTAGCCATTTCAAGTTATGCCAAGAAGATCCAAATAAAATGTTCATTAAACATGTCATTAACGAAGATTTTAGAAGTGTCACAATGAAAAAAAGAGGAATGAGAAATAATATTTCTTTGACTGATTTGAAAAGGAAATATAAAGAACTGCTTCCTTTTAATGAAAAAAAGATATCTAATCTTTCTGAGCTAGTAAAATTTATTCCACCGGCATATATTCATTTTTATCAAGAGATTGGAGCATGTAATGTTGTTGAACATCCGAATTCGGAGGAAAATGTTGAGGACCTTGATGTTGACAGTGATCAAGAAAACAAGAGCGACGATGACGGCGACGCTTATGAGTAATGCACATTGTACATTTTCTTACTTTAGAAAAATTAGATAAGTTCGTAAGAATGATTCATGTTTTTGTATTTTTTCTATTTTGTTTTCTTTAAAGGTTTCTGTTTTGGCAAAATCAGAAATGTTTTTATTTTTAAGGCAAGAAAAAGATAAGCCACTTTTTTTTATAGAAAAACCGGTTTATTAAAAAAAAATTGAATTTTAAGTTTGTTTTATTAATGTGTTCAAAAGTAAATAATTTTGTCATGATATGACGATTGTTTCAATTTTGTACAGTTAAAATCATGATTTCAGGATTTGATTGGATATTTAAAATGCATTTTTCTCAAAACTAACTTTTTGGGCATATCCCCTTCTTCTGCCAAGGTCTTCAAATATGGAATAGGTGAAATAAGTATACATATATATATTTTAGGGTTCTAGCTCGGGTTCTAGTTAACTTCCTCTGTAACTTTTGAACCTAAAATTTCTGAGATTTATTTCTGTTGGTATGTAGCCAGCAAAACAAGTCTCGAAAAAAGTATTGGAAATGCAAATGGGAGATTCTTGTCCTAAATAAAATTAGGGAATCAAACGAGAGTATTTCGAGCAGAAAAATTCTTTAATGAAAACTAGCAGAGCGCTTTCGGCCTTCCGGCCATCCTCAGTGCCAATTGTCAGTTAAAAATGCACAGGAACCAATAACAGGACCATCACAGTCACAGGAACAAATATCATAGTTTGCATAAAAGGTGATTGTTAAAAATTCATGAAATTATCGATCGGAAAAGCCAAGATCATGTTCTATCTCCTATTTCTCTCTACAGTTTGACCAGACGCCAGTCATACTTAAAAGAACAAATTCTGAAACCCTTACATAAGAAAATTAATAAAATATCGATCGGAAAAGCCAGTATCACATTTTTCACTTGGCGCCAGTTTCAATAAGTCTGCCTAAAACTAGTAAAACAAATATTGAGCAAAAAAAAATCGAGGTAAAACCAATAAAGGTAAAACTGCTCTCATTATGTGTCATAGTCGAGGTCAGAGTTTATGAACAATAATAATAATACGAGTAATAATACAGAATATAGAAACACTATTATGTGGAAGACATGCTAGTACTTACAGCATGTGCATTGCAAGACCTGATACTGTTTTTTATTTATAATTAAATTTTAAAATTAGTGAAAGCTTTACTATATGGCTATAGTTTTGTTTTCTTTTTGTTGCTGAACAATTTTTTTACTTTACTAAACCTGTAATTATTGCATTGATGTATTTGTATGAAATAACAAGTAGAAAAAATACACTACATACTTTAGAGAATATTTCTAGGGCATGCTGATTTTTTCAGAGCTGATTGCAGACTGTGCCCTGAGTTAAGCCAAAAAATCGAACGCCTTGTGCGTTCGAACTTACTGGCCTTTTTCTTATTTATTTTTTTTTTCAACAAAATGACCTTAATAAATGTAGATACGAGTGTACCTAGATAATTACATTCTGATCGACTTTACCTCATGACTTTTTTTTGCTAGCTATTCTAGATTAGCTGCTGCGGCTATTTTAGTGGTTCAAAATTCGGGAAAAAATAAAAAGCAATCCTGCAGTACAGTGTATTTGATTATATTCAAACTCATACCTACAGCCTTTATCATTTGAGATAGAAAAAAAATTTTAATAAAAAACTTGACAGTTTTTTTCTATAGTTTTTTTCAATGTTATAAGAAGAAACAAAATTGCAACGGAATATGGAGAATCGTAGATAACTTCGACTTTTTTGAATAGATCACCCTTCTGATAACGCTAAAAGAGAATATAGAAAAAAAACTATTATTTTAATAAATTTTCCTTTATCTTAAATACTAAAGGTTGTAGGTATGGGCCTAAATATAATAAATACCCTGTACATACCTACTAGTCATCCAATGGTAACCAAAGACAATTTTTAATACCCTGTTTAATGTTTTGGAGTACCTACTTGGACTGCCTTGAAATTCGTTACCCCACATGTTGCCTACAACACTGACATTAAATATGATATCTAAAGCATGATTGAAAACAAGCCAAGATTGAAAACAAGCCAAGTGGTCTGTTCTCACAGAAATCCCAAACCAGTCAGAGCGAATTTCATTGGTTGAAAATAGTCAGAAAACTGGTTGTTGGTGATTTGGACCAATCAAAAATGCTCTGACTGATTTGTGATTTCTGTGAAAACACATCGCAGATAAACTTTTATTAGAGATGGTTTATGTATTGGGTCATTTAGATTTACCTACTTGAATTAGGTACCTACCTACGTTTAATCTCGCATTTAAGGTTAAATTAACTTAAGTAGTTACCACATGTATCTGTTAGAACCTCAATAAAAACTCACTTTCAGAAAGAAGAAAGCTGAGCGAGGAGCTGAGTATATTTTTAATAGAAAAACGCCATGCATTGATATTGATTGCGGGTTCAGATACACTAAAGCTGGATTTATCCAGCAAATAAAATAAAATAAGATAAAATAAGAAATAAGAAATAACAGTTAACCTCATGAGATACCCCAAGTGTTTATGTGCATTAGTTATGTATTTGTTATGTTATCTTATTTTATTTTATTTGCTGTATAAATCCAGCTTAAAAAGAGACTGACATAAATCTGCCATGATCTTCTAAGGATCCCTAGAATCAACGTTATTTTCAACCAGTATTATAATATGACCAAAGCGCTTCAGTGTTACTCAATCAAAATATTATTCAGGTATATCAATATACCTACCACGGCGTTTGGTTCTTTGCCCAAACAACATTTTTGTAATCAATGAGATTTGGCTAAAAAGGGGATTAACTTACGATAATCCACAGGAAATTTGATGAAATATCTGGAATAGGAATGTCCTGTCTGTCAAGAGGTTTCTCCACATTTTTTCCTTTGCTATAATTTTCCATAATATCCCAATTAATATGGATACTGAAGAGTACCTATTTACTTTTTAATGTTTTCATTGTTTTCCAAACATAAACAAACAAAAGCAAAATATTAGCCCTAACCACAGCCCTCTACACTTACAAGCCATGAAGTTGGAAATAACGGCAACGTCGCCAATGGTGCTATTTTGCTATTGAGGTTATATGTTTCTGTGTATTGTTTTCATTGTTTATTGCTAGAGTGAGGTGCATTTTCAAACGAAAAAGTGGCTAGAAACACCAATATATTGTTTACTTACTATTTGGTTCATACCTGTTATGCCATTATTAGTTGATTGTGAATTTATAGCAAATACTGCAATCGGTACAGGAGCAAAAATTAAGGTGAGTTAAGGTAAAAGCAAATAAAAACAATATAATATTTGTTTCCACTTTGCAAAGTGCAAGAGCACATGTATAGGTCTCGATATTATTATTATCTAAGATATTTAAACTTGTTCCAGATGCCAAGAAACTGCTGTGTGCCGAGGTGCAAATCCAACTATAGGAGTTCCCTGAAGACTGAGGAACTGCAAACAACATTTTCATTTCCAAAAACTTCCGAATTACAGAAATTATGGCTAAAAGCTATTCACCGAGATAATTATACGGTAACAAAAAATTCTGTAGTGTGTGCGAAACATTTTGATGTTATGTGTGTAAGTTTGCAGGAAATTAACAATTTCAAATTTGTTCTGCATAGTGATTATTTAAAATTGTACAGTAATTTTGATGACTCTGTGCAGGAATACATCTGTGGATACGTGGCTCGATCAGTTTTGAAGAATAATAAATGTGATAAATGTCAAAGTTTAGTAGTTCTAGCAAAAGGCATCCAGACGGATCATACATATTTTAATTCTCTGCAGAGAGGGGGTCTCTGTATTGCAACTCAAGAAACCAAGTTTATTTATTTTCATCTTTGTGCTATCTTCGAGTATATAATTAATAACAAAGATCTTGAAAGTATGTTCCTGAAAACAAATGATCATCATAATTTATTATTGCAGCTTACTTTATTAGCTTTAGAGTCCGATACCTTTAATATTGATTTGAACAAAATTTGTGAATGTGGTGCTAACTCAAAAAAAATTTACTCCTTTGCTTCTTTGATAATGAGTAATATTATTTTAAACAACTACACAAAATTTAAAAATAGTGAATGTCATAAAAATAAAACAGATTCAAGTAAAAAAAGAAAACTAACCACTTTGAAATAGAAAAAAAATGTACCTAGGTACTAAAAATAATAATAGAGGTATGTTTTAAGGGTAGCTTTCCCGAATTCTTAGAAAGTATTTATTTTTTTAACATGATAGGTAGTTGCTAGTTGTATAGAATTGTTTGACAAGACCTTGTACATATAAAATAGATATAGGATTATAACACTTTAGAATCTAGTAATATATTTATTTAAATCAATTATTTACTGTTCTTATTTACACAAATATTTATATTATTCATTGAATTACTGTTTTTACTTTTTAGTACATGCATTTTGTGTGATTAATATGTACAAAATATTGGTAATATTACAATAATTTTACTAACTACTAATATTTTTTCAAAGAAAACTACTTTTTTATGTAATTGAGATAAGAATTCATATCATCAATAAAAGTAAATAAACCATACGCGGAATTGAGGTTAAATAAAACAGCACCACTTGGCGGTAAGATTGCGGTGTTGCCTTTTTAACTTCATGGCTTGTAAGTGTAGAGGGCTGTGACATAACCCAATAACAAAATAGCACCATACGCGACGTTGCCGTCATTTCCAACTTCATGGCTTGTTAACTATAGGAGGCAGTGCCTTGACCCATTTACTCCAAGCACCTGTGCGACATCCCAAGACCGCTAAATAATAAAAACCGAAGTGTTCGGAGCACACAGCTGTTCAAGATCAAGTTCAAGTGTCAAAATAACAAATCATAACCCAATAATTAACGGATGGTAAACAAAGCACTGGGCCCCAATTTTAGCGGTGTGAAGTTAGCTGACAAATAGTTAGCTGCCAAAGTGCCGATGATTGCCGAACGACCATGGGCGGAGGTCAACAATTTGAATAAATTAAATTAATTTAAAATGTTTTAGCAACAATTGAAAAATACTTGAAATTATACAATCTAAATGTATTTTCAATTAAAATTAACAAATAAATATATTCCAGTTGAATAACGACTAATAGTCCTGTAAAATAACAACAAACTAAAACAAAAATAATATGTAAAAAATTCAGGACAATTTTGTTTCACCAAATTTCGATATTTATCTGAAAGAACAGACTCCACTCCACAATTTGACACCTCATTTGACCCACCAGTCCCCTCAATAGACTGGTAAAATCAGAAATACGACAAAAAAAAATTCTAAAAAATCGAAGACAATTTTGTTTCACCAAATTTCGATATTTATCTGAAAGAACAGACTGCACTCCACAATTTGACACCCCATTTGACCCACCAGTCCCCTCAATAGACTGGTAAAATCAGAAATACGACAAAAAAAAATTCTAAAAAATCGAAGACAATTTTGTTTCACCAAATTTCGATATTTATCTGAAAGAACAGACTCCACTCCACAATTTGACACCCCATTTGACCCACCAGTCCCCTCAATAGACTGGTAAAATCAGAAATACGACAAAAAAAAATTCTAAAAAATCGAAGACAATTTTGTTTCACCAAATTTCGATATTTATCTGAAAGAACAGACTGCACTCCACAATTTGACACCCCATTTGACCCACCAGTCCCCTCAATAGACTGGTAAAATCAGAAATACGACAAAAAAAAATTCTAAAAAATCGAAGACAATTTTGTTTCACCAAATTTCGATATTTATCTGAAAGAACAGACTGCACTCCACAATTTGACACCCCATTTGACCCACCAGTCCCCTCAATAGACTGGTAAAATCAGAAATACGACAAAAAAAAATTCTAAAAAATCGAAGACAATTTTGTTTCACCAAATTTCGATATTTATCTGAAAGAACAGACTCCACTCCACAATTTGACACCCCATTTGACCCACCAGTCCCCTCAATAGACTGGTAAAATCAGAAATACGACAAAAAAAAATTCTAAAAAATCGAAGACAATTTTGTTTCACCAAATTTCGATATTTATCTGAAAGAACAGACTCCACTCCACAATTTGACACCCCATTTGACCCACCAGTCCCCTCAATAGACTGGTAAAATCAGAAATACGACAAAAAAAAATTCTAAAAAATCGAAGACAATTTTGTTTCACCAAATTTCGATATTTATCTGAAAGAACAGACTGCACTCCACAATTTGACACCCCATTTGACCCACCAGTCCCCTCAATAGACTGGTAAAATCAGAAATACGACAAAAAAAAATTCTAAAAAATCGAAGACAATTTTGTTTCACCAAATTTCGATATTTATCTGAAAGAACAGACTCCACTCCACAATTTGACACCCCATTTGACCCACCAGTCCCCTCAATAGACTGGTAAAATCAGAAATACGACAAAAAGAAATTCTAAAAAATCGAAGACAATTTTGTTTCACCAAATTTCGATATTTATCTGAAAGAACAGACTCCACTCCACAATTTGACACCCCATTTGACCCACCAGTCCCCTCAATAGACTGGTAAAATCAGAAATACGATAAAAAAAAATTCTAAAAAATCGAAGACAATTTTGTTTCACCAAATTTCGATATTTATCTGAAAGAACAGACTGCACTCCACAATTTGACACCCCATTTGACCCACCAGTCCCCTCAATAGACTGGTAAAATCAGAAATACGACAAAAAAAAATTCTAAAAAATCGAAGACAATTTTGTTTCACCAAATTTCGATATTTATCTGAAAGAACAGACTCCACTCCACAATTTGACACCCCATTTGACCCACCAGTCCCCTCAATAGACTGGTAAAATCAGAAATACGACAAAAAGAAATTCTAAAAAATCGAAGACAATTTTGTTTCACCAAATTTCGATATTTATCTGAAAGAACAGACTCCACTCCACAATTTGACACCCCATTTGACCCACCAGTCCCCTCAATAGACTGGTAAAATCAGAAATACGACAAAAAGAAATTCTAAAAAATCGAAGACAATTTTGTTTCACCAAATTTCGATATTTATCTGAAAGAACAGACTCCACTCCACAATTTGACACCCCATTTGACCCACCAGTCCCCTCAATAGACTGGTAAAATCAGAAATACGACAAAAAGAAATTCTAAAAAATCGAAGACAATTTTGTTTCACCAAATTTCGATATTTATCTGAAAGAACAGACTCCACTCCACAATTTGACACCCCATTTGACCCACCAGTCCCCTCAATAGACTGGTAAAATCAGAAATACGATAAAAAAAAATTCTAAAAAATCGAAGACAATTTTGTTTCACCAAATTTCGAGATTAATTTGAAAGAACAGACTCCACTCCACAATTTAACACCCCATTTGTCCCCCCAGTCCCCTCAATAGACTGGTAAAATCAGAAATACGACAAAAAAAAATTCTAAAAAATCGAAGACAATTTTGTTTCACCAAATTTCGATATTTATCTGAAAGAACAGACTGCACTCCACAATTTGACACCCCATTTGACCCACCAGTCCCCTCAATAGACTGGTAAAATCAGAAATACGACAAAAAAAAAATTCTAAAAAATCGAAGACAATTTTGTTTCACCAAATTTCGATATTTATCTGAAAGAACAGACTCCACTCCACAATTTGACACCCCATTTGACCCACCAGTCCCCTCAATAGACTGGTAAAATCAGAAATACGACAAAAAGAAATTCTAAAAAATCGAAGACAATTTTGTTTCACCAAATTTCGATATTTATCTGAAAGAACAGACTCCACTCCACAATTTGACACCCCATTTGACCCACCAGTCCCCTCAATAGACTGGTAAAATCAGAAATACGATAAAAAAAAATTCTAAAAAATCGAAGACAATTTTGTTTCACCAAATTTCGATATTTATCTGAAAGAACAGACTGCACTCCACAATTTGACACCCCATTTGACCCACCAGTCCCCTCAATAGACTGGTAAAATCAGAAATACGACAAAAAAAAATTCTAAAAA